ATGAGCCCAAAAATCTCAAAACAAGAGCCAGGTACAGTGATATTTATTAACAGCATGTAGATGTGTTACTTCTGATGCGTGGAAATCCCACAGTGGAAATATTATTATCATCATTTCCAAGAGTGTAATAATTTTAATTGGAATGAAAAGAAAAGCAGAAGCCCTAATTTGTTTTTGTTTTTTAAATTGTGTTTTCATAAGGTTTACTGAATTAAAAGCAACAATAGAACAATCTAATAGCCTGATACAATAGTTTAATGTTTAAAAACTTAATATATGTTATATCATTATAACTAGACTACAAAAAATGTGTTGATTTACATTCCACCACTGTTTTTCCTGTTTTTCAGTTTAATTATAAGCATAAACATGTTTAATGTGATTCAAATAAGTCAGAATTTTCCTTTTAGACTTTGAAAAAGCTACAGTTTAGTTTTATAATACTGTATACAATACCAGTCAGAAGTCAGGTGTACCAACCGGACTTCTGCACAACGCTACTGATGGTCCCAACTCACGGAGGCAAGAAATTCCACAAATGAACCCTGACAAGGCACATCTATCAAGTGAAAGCAATTTCAGGTGACTACATCATGAAGCTCATTAAGAAAAGGCCAAGAGTTTGCAGCAATGTCAAGAAAACAAAGGGTGGCTACTTTCAGGAATCTAAAATATATAACATGTTTAATTTTTCATTGAGTCCTACATTCGAGTCTACATCTTGACTACCACACAGAAAATCTGTGACAGTGTATCCAAACTTTTGACTGTGTTGATATAAAGTGTACTCTCTATATATAACAACTGTGTAAGAATTTCATCACCTTGGATGAATGTAGCCTGTTAATTTTGTGTAGCCACACCAGAAGAAAAGTTGCTGAAATTCCGGTAATCTCATCGGACATAAAAAGACTCTTTGAGGCTTTTTTCTGCCTTCTGTTTTGTGATGTCATTCCAGGGTGCTGGAATATCAGCAGGTACTGCATTAATTTTCATGGCAAAGTCTCTGTTGTACCTTGTAATGACATATTTCCAGTAGTCTGATGCCTCAAGGCTCACATCTGGAGGGATTTTCCAGTCTGGGTAAATTTTCTTGTAACTCTTGTAAGGGTGATATTTATGGTTTGTATCACTGCAGCAAAAATGATTGTCACCGATCACAAGACAAGAGCATATGTCAGTGATCAGTTTTTGTGTATTTGGCCAACTGAAACCTCCCAGACCTTGAGGTCGATGCAGTAGAGCAAAGTGCTCAGTATGGGCTCTTCCTCCTGCATCACAGGGAGCTTTGCAGAATGGACACTGTTTGCCACAACCAACCAATTTGTTGAAAAGCTCATTTTGGGGCTGCACATGGAGATGCTGTAGTTTCATTTCAATGTTTACATTTTTAAACTTCATTCTCAGATCTTGTGCCATCTCATTCACAGACACTGTTAGCCAGTCAGCAAACTGCTCTTTGTCAGCATTGTTCAAAAACATGAAAACACCGAGAGCATCTTTGGAAATGACCAGCTTGTGACCAAGTTCTTTACAAATATCTTCAACAAAGGTCTTCAAATCATCACTCTTTCCCCTTTGGGCCTTGTTGATGGCATCATTTATGCTTCTGATACATGACTGAAGATGTCGGTGCTCAAACACTGATATTGTTGACATAGTTGTAAAGCGTTCCACTATTTTGTTGTGAATCCATGTCTTTACATACTTCTCAAATGAGCAAATATATCTCAGATAGTTTTGAAAATCATCCTTTGAAAGTAAATCCAGTAAAATAGGATATTGGAAGGACATTCGTGTGCTGAACTTCTCACATGTCAGCATTTCATCAACAATGTCATGTCCCAGGAGATAATTGATAAAGTCCTCAACAGCAGGCTTCAAGCACTTGTTGGTGAATTCTTCTGCCTTCTTCTGACACTGGTCTCTTTTATTAAAGATGTCTTTAAAATCATCACAAAACTTTTCCTTGTATTTAATCAGACATCTGTAGGGATCATTTCCTTGGACGAAATCTTCGTGCATTTTCTGAAACTCTCTGGCTGCAAATCCACAGATGTGCTGTTTCAGAGAAAATTCAAACTTAATGTCTGTCCGAACATCTTGATTGTTTTGTAGTTTCTCATCAATGATGTGTAGGATCTCCTGGATGTAAGTATCTGAGTAGTTGTTTTTTCTTTTCACTTTTTCTCTCACAAACTGAGAGCAAACATTGATGATGCTGTCAGCCAATTTTTGTACAGCCATTGTGTGATCTTGAAACTTGAAAAACGCTAATTTTTTTTGGTATTCGTAGATTGATCCTTTGGGTGCATATTTAAAAGACTGTCTTCCACAATCCTGTAAACTTTTTTGACTTAATAATTCACATGCATGACTCCCCCTGTAGGACAGATTGATTCTCAGGTAGTGAGATACGCTGGTAAAGATATTTGTGATCTTTTGTTCAGAAAAAGAAAGTTTCTTCAGAGTTTCACTCCACATCTTATCAAACTCTTTGTCCAGCTCTTCATCACTCATCTGAATATTCTTTTTCCGACATTCATCAATTAGTACCCAAGCTGCCTTTTCAATCTCTTTTGTATGACTCTTCTTAATTGTATTAATTTCTTTCATTCCCTCTCTGATTTCTGCTGCTGTTGTGAGTTGATTAAAAACAGATCTCTCCATTTCTTTTCTAAGGCTCTTTGCATTGTTTGAGAATTCCTCTTTGTATCCTTCAACCAGATAAACATGACCCTCTGTTTGTTTGAAATACTGTGTCAGATTTTCTAGAAGTCTTGTCTCCCATGTGGACAGCACTGTGGAGGCTTCACTTTTCAAACATGTGAGAAATTCTCTCATGTCAGAAGATTCAGATTTTGATGCAACTGTACCAAAATTGGAAATTTTCGTTTCTGCATTTGTTACCCAGGTGTACATTTCTTTTTTGAATTCCCATTCCCATTTGTTGAATTCTGTGCAGAGTCTCATGTATGCATCAGCTACTAGACTGTTTCTGAAGCTGAAGATGAAGTTTTCATGCTTTACTGCAGTCCACAGACTTGTCACCCACTCTTTAAACTCAGAGATATTATTAGCAGATGATTCAGAGTTTCCCAGTAGTTGGATGATGTGTTTCTTGAGCTCATATACAGCCTCACTGTAGCCTGTATTGACTGGTGCCATTGGTGGGTTTCCATTCCAGAGTCCAGGAATGTACCAGTTCCCAGTGTCTGGACTGTACTCCATCACATCAGTGAAGCTCTTGTTCTCCTCTTTCTTTTCCATTTTGGCTGCTGCCTGGGTCATCTCATTTAACTGTTCCAGGAGCAGTTTCCTGTCTCGTGAGTTCTTCTCATGGGCTGAAACATCGGACACATTCTGGTGAACAAACTGACATTTAGGCTTTTTGCCCACCTCCTTCATCCTGAGAAAAGCATGCACAACTATTTGTAGGATGTCCTTCATTTCAGTTGAATTCTCCATTGCAATGTTGACTATGGTGACATCACTCAGTCCCACAACAAGTGTAGCAAGCTCATTGTCGTGCTCATGGCTGTTGTCTAGTTGTGCAAGTTCTGGTGACTTTAAGCCCTCAGTGTCAATGATCACCATGAAGTCACAGTTTAGGACTTTTTTCATGTCTTCATTGATTTTGATGAGCAACATAAAGGCACCTCGAGTACATCGACCACTGCTGACTGCAAACTGCACTCCAAACATGGTGTTAAGGAGAGTGGACTTTCCTGTGCTCTGAACTCCAAGAACTGTGACTACACGTATCTTTCTGTTTGGAGACACCAAGTCACTGAGCTGAGAGAGAACATCACTCACCCATCTGAGAGGGATGTTGGATGCATCTCCATCTACAAGCTCAAGAGGAAATCCATCAAGCAACAACTCTGCACACAGTTTGGGCAGATGCTGCAGCTGTTGACGTGCTGGATCTGTTTGTGGAAGGGACAGTGAGGCTTCATAGATCTGACCCATTTCACGGAAGAAGTGTTCAGTCCCCAGTGAGCTGTTGGAAATTTGTCTGTCAATTTCTTTGATCTCCTCTTTGTTCTCAGAGTTCTTGCATTTTTCTTTATATTTCTCCCGAAGTTCAGACAGTTTTACACGAGACATGTTATCCAGGTTCATTCGCATCCATTTCAGGAAATAAAACCTCTCTGTTCCTGGGCTTGATATTGCAATAATGAACCGTGTCATAGCTGTCGACATGTCATAGAAGTTCTGCTTTTTCCGCAGTTGTTGTTTCTGCAGCTGAAGTTCACTTTTGTATTCTTCTATATTTTTAGAGCCAACTTTTCTAAGCCGAAATTCTTCCTTCTCTAAGCGGGTCAGTTCTTTCCATATTTCACCTTGCCGTGGAAGCTGATCTTCTTTATATTTAAGGATGTCTTGAATTTCTGCAATGATGGCATCTGCGTTTGTCCTTGCAGCCTGGCACTCTGGAGAGTCTTCATCAACTGGAATGCCTAGTTCATGGGCAATTTCTGCCATCTGCTCTATTGTCATCTTCATCATTGAGTTCTTAACTACATTTCTGACTGTTTCCCTCAAACTTTTCACAAAGTCTGCATCATTTCTCTGTTTTGTCTTAATAATGATGCTGTTGTTAGTCAAGCCCAACATGGTTGCTAATTTTTCCAAAGCATCTTCACTGAAGTGCTTGCTCTCATAGTTACCCACCAAGAAGATCTGTGCCTTGTGCAGTTGGTTGGTAAGTAGACTAAATTCAGATTCAGAGTCTAAATGGTCAAAGAACACAAAAACTGCTGCAGATGTCTGACACAAAAAGGAGTATTGTGTTTCAAGTGAAGCAATGTCGCCACGAAGGTTAGCTACAGCCACTGGCTGACTGACAATATCAATGTTTGCTTTTCCACCAGGAAGATACCAAGTAATTTCAGTCAGTCCGTTGGATATTTTTCTTGGACTGTCACCACACTCCATGTTGCGATGAACAAAGGTGTCATGGTACTGCTGAGAATTGCTCAGAAGCTTATTGAGAATCTCTGACTTGGACAAGGAGCACTCACCCAGTCTGACAAAAGAGATCATTGGAAGTTCAGACAGAACGATTCTGTCTTCAATGAAGCCCTTGGACTCTGACAGAGACTGAGGTCTGTACTTTTTAACAATGTCCCTCATGGCCCACAGCATGAGTGTGCACTGATTTGTATCACAATTGGGAAGCAGCAAAGGCACAGCAAACTGACATGTGGACATTTTGAGTGCCATTTCCTGCTGTACAAGACCATCAGAACACAGAAAAAGAGCAGTGATTATATCAAGGGGGTTTATCATGCTGTCTGTGTTTGAGCCTTTAAGGAGATTTTTAATACTGAACTCTTTACTCCCTGATGCACCACCACTGTCTGACTCATACACTGTGATATATGTCACATTCCTTGCTGTCACATTAACCATCATCAGTTTCTTTAGAAAATACCAAGGAAGGTCTGATTTACAGTTGGCAGCTTCATCAGTGATGATCTTCTCATCAATCTCAAGTATTTTTCTGAGTGTTATCTTCTTTCTGTAGTACTGCTCCAACCCAAGATCATTTAATGACTTCTCCAGATGTGTTCCTGTGGATCAAAAAGACGGTTGTTATTTCTCATAATTTTCAAGATATTTTATTATTCCAAAATATCTTACTATAAAAAACCAAAGATAAGCAATCCAAAAGTAACGATCAACAATCATACAGCTGCAATGTTTTGTCTGAAGCAATTTGATTTTTTTTATGTTTGTTATGCTTAATGCTATCAGTGTGCAAAAACAGTAATTTCAGAGACAGGAGATGCCAACCTCTGAACCTGGATTCAAAATGAAAACTATCAGTTCATCTATCTTTTGTTCTTAGTTTTTGTTCATTTCTTTAGGAAAAAGGAGAGTCTTCTTCAACACACTGGCTAATTTTGTTTCTCTCACAACATCATTTACACACACCAACAACTGCAATTAACTTTTGAAAAATTTCCTTAATAAAATTAATGGTTTCAGTGAAAATATAACTCTCAGAGACAGTCATGTGCATGAGCCGACGTCAAAACTTTCTTTTATCACCGAAAGATAAATATAAAAAATGGGTTTTGGGACACAATAGAATAACATTTTGGAGATATATGACATTCTTGATAATATTTCAGTCTGGTTTTAGAAAGTTACAAGTCTCAAATGGTGGCTTCAGATAAGGGTCATTGTTCAGTCCTTTTTTGCTGGACCTTAGCTCCCCCTTTGATACTGCTGACTACTGATTTTGATTCATGGGTTAAACCACATGGTAGGGATTTCCAGGCCTGTCTTGGATTGGTTCACTTCATATCTTGCTGATAGAATTGTTTTTGTTTTGGTGGGGTATTTGTGGTTAGATGTTGGTGTTTTATCTTGTTGTGTGCCAAAAGGTTCTTTGTTAAGTCCTATGTTATTTCCACAGTACTGGGTTGTGGAACGCCAGGACTGACATAATAAATTAATTAAATACAGTTCTTTTGCAATGAAAAACATAAACACTCATGGCGCCGGTAGGTTTCCGCATTGCCAGCTGTTTAAATTACAGCTGCTTATGCAGTAACCATGGTAACCACGGACTCTGAGCGGCTGGATCGATGCAGGTCAGACAACAATTTTACATATATGATATTTTACATATATGATCTTAAAACTGGACACAGCCACTATACGTGCTGGCCTCATATCAAATGTGAGCGTAGACTATGTTTGACGTTTGTTTTATATCTAATCTTCGCTCTCAAACATTTAAACAGCAGCTGAGAAAATACAAACTCAAATTGTCAGAACAGGTGTTTTAGTGAAATTGTTAAATGTTGTCATTGTGTTACTTAAATTTGTAAGTCTTGGTTCAAATTGTATGATTTCAGATATTCCTTTGTATCTGACCCCCAGCCTGTTGAATGGTGGAGGAGGCTGCAGTGTTTTATAGGGACATCCTATGGGAGGGTTCTGTTTTCTTGTTTAGTAAACTTCCTGCCTTTATGACCCTTTTGGTGAGCAGGAGGTCACACAAACGCACCCCCAAACACAAACACACTCACATGCACCTACACACACACACACACACACACACACACACACACATGCAGATGCTCGCATATACATGCACACACACACACGCAGTGTTTTAAACTTTTGTGACCGTAGGGTTTTTTTTTTTACAGTGGGTGGTGCTTGTGTTCTCAGAATAAAAGGCTGCAAGGAAGGCTCTTTATTTGAAGTTGGCTAGGAGACAGGTGAGGAGCGTTCAGCTCCAAGAGCCTGGTTCCAACCAGCCTCCCTTGGTAGCAAGTAAAAACCGGTTAAAGCCGTGCCTCTTGCTTCCTTGCTTCGTTAACGGGGATAAGTTTCTAAACCAGCGAGGCCTGTGGAAGTGCAGACCCAACACAGGTTTGATCGTTTCTTGCGTGTATTCATTTGGTGATTTATTAAATATACTAATGTTATTCTAATCTGCTGTTGAGTCTTTTACGCTGAGAAAATGCAGATAACACAGATCACAAACACCTGTTCAACCAATCACATCCATTCCACTTTGATCTGTGACAAACACGTTCATGGCCTGTAAAGAGCCTGTGTTTGTATAGTGCTTTACTAGTCCCTAAGGACCCCAAAGTGCTTTACATAACCAGTCATCCACCCATTCACACACACAGTCACACACTGGTGATGGCAAGTTACATTGTAGCCTGGGGCACACTGGCAGAGGCGAGGCTGCTGGACACGGCAACCTTCTGATTACAAGGCGAACTCCCAACTCTTGAGCCACGATCGCTCTCTGTTACAACAGTGTTGCATTCGACTGCTATATTTTTGTTCTTTATATTGTATATTTTCACGTCTCTGGAATAGTTGGCAGTAATAAGGATGATTTTCTGTTAAATCACATTGATATGACCCGTGAATTATTCGTAGATGACCGTTAGATTAGTCAGCTGGGAAACTCTGGGTTAACTCAGCTGAAGATATTGTGGATATGCTGACCTTGCTCCGTGGTGTAGAGGGCTGTTTACCCTCATGATTAATATTCACAATAAAAATATTAGCCAAACATCATGAAGTCTGTATGTGTTTCATAGTGTCGAACAACCTTTGTACAGTTAAACCTAACAGTTACTACATCACGGAAACACCAACATTATTTCTTTTAATAAAGTTTATGCATTTATACACAGGTCACGCTGATTATTGAACAAAAACCCAAAGATCTCTCCTCCTTAAACATGTTTTTAATGTTAGTTATAATGCAGAATTGGCGACTGAAACACGTATGACACATAAGAACATCATGAAATAAAAACCCGCCCATTACTGCCCACAGTAACGCGTTAGTAACGTGTTACTGTAATCTGATTACTTTTTTAACGAGTAACAAGTAAAGTAAGGGATTACTATCGCAAAAACGGTAATTAGATTACCGTTACTTTCCTGTAGGAACGCTGCGTTACTGCGTTACTAAAACCGTGATTTTT